TTTGAGTCCAGAGAACCTTTTAATCTCTCCAGGATGATGCGGCATAATATACTGCTTGTGATATACAGGAGTGGAGCATGACTCCACACCAGTTCTTGCAAAGACTTAGGTTTCGCTCCTTTGAGAGTTTGACGAAGTAGTTCTTCTTCCAGTAGGTAGGTACCTTCCCTTCCCTCCTTCCAAACCTTCTGCATTAGTGGTGTTAGCATGTCCAATGTTGTGTCTGCGTCTGTTTCCAGTGCTTTTGTAGGAATTCCATCTGGTCCTGCTGCTTTCCTGAATTTCAGCAACTTTATGGCGTTGAGGACATCACTTTTGCTTTTGTCAGAGGTCTTGTGTTCACTGGTAGTTCTGAGGCTGGTCTGCTGGTGGTATTTCTGGACGAGTTGCAGGTGGTAGTGGTGGTCGATTCAAGAGTTTTTTTGAAGTGGCCAGCCTACCGTTTCCTTTGTTTCTCCTCTTTGGCGGTAATTAAGTTCCCTTCACTATCTTTCATTGGTTTCATGTGTGTTGATCTCTTCCCTTCCAGGTAGTAATCTGGTTATTTGATATGATGTTGTCAGGTCTCTCTCTCTCTCACCTGCAGCCTGTTCTGCTTCACATGCCAATGTGTCGTGGAAGTGTCTTTTGTCTTTGTGCGCACTCCTCTTCACTTCTTTATGTGTGTATGAGTGTGTGTGTGTGTTCAGTTTCTGTTTTCGTTGTTCATCCCTGCCTGCACTGCACTGCACCGGTTCATCTTCTGCTTCACCATCTTCCTCTCCCTCTTCTATCAGTTTGCATTTATCCGCCGAGATCCATTCTTCTTCCTGCTTCTTCTTCCTTCTTGATACGGTTATGCAGGTTTCCTTCCCTTGTCTCTTTCAAAGAGTCCCAGTGTTCTTCCACACAGGTTTCTTCAGGGGTGTTGCTTAATGTCTCCCATTTTATCCTGATGGCTGAGGTGAAGATGTCATTTGAAGTTTTGTCCTTCTAATCACCAAATCGGTGAATGCACAGAAGTCTGCAAACAGTTCTCCATTCTCATTTGTTTCACCGAGCGCTTCTCGACCCATTGTTAGTTCTCTTCCTGTGTTGTCCGCTCGGAGTTTGGCATTCATGTCGCCCATTAGAATTTGTTTGTCGCCAACTGAGGACTTGTCGAGTGCTGATTGCAGCTGTCTGTAGAATTCCTCCTTCTTCTCATCATCTGCATTATTTGTAGGTGTGTAGCGTAGCATTGTATGACTGTGACTTTCCTTCCTTTTGAGTTGAACCTTGCTGTCATTATCCTGATGCTGAAGGAGATTGGTTGCCACTGCATGAGAGAGAGCCTTCAATGCTGTTGGGGACATCATGATGGCCACTCGAAAACTCAGTGTGCTCATGATTGTCGTGTGGGTGACAATATCGGAGTAGATTATTGACTCTCCAGTTGACAGTTTGGAGAGTCCACTTCTATTCCATTCCATCTGCTTTCACAGATTCCTAACACTTTAATGCCATACCTCCTCATCTCTTTGGCAATCTGGGCAGCCTTGCTGGGTTCAAAGATGGTGCGGACATTCCATGTCCCCATGATTGCTTTTGCTTTCATCGAGAGAAGAAAAGACACATCGGCCAACCGGCGTCATTTCGTCTCTCCGATTCCAGCGAGGAATGAGTTTATCTTTATTTTTTATACTTTGTCTGTGCTTTGAAGTTTGTTTAGCGGTTGGATTGGTTTTACGGGGTAGGGTTACTAGCCCTGTGTCCAACCTTCCGTCTTTATGCGGGCTTAGGACTGGCTAGTAACTAGTGAACTAGTTAACCAGGCGAGATTATCGCGTAATATATGTGGTTTTTATGAAGTCAATATTTCTTAGTGGTGTATAAGACTAGTTTCTGTAAATATTTTATGAGCTGTAGGATAATGCGACATCATTAATGCAGCTTATCTTTCAAATAGTTCAATGTTTTAACTATCCATACTGTTTAGTGTTTTACTATTACCCTTTCATATATTATCATCATCAGCCTCAGCTGTCATTCCTCTTCTCGTTGTATCTTGATTTTCTTTTACTGTTTTGAAAACTGTGGCTATCAGATACTCATCAGCTTGTAATTCCCTATGTACTATGCTAACAGTTTCAGCATACGTAACAGAGTTCCAGTGGGAATTTGTAGGTTTCGTCTATTCTAGAAGAATTGTTTTGGCGGACGTCGGTTGTGCTTCGTTGGCTTAGAGATCCGACTACCAACTGGTAGCCAACTCGTTCTAGATCTTTGACACTAGCTTAGGGGTGAGCAGCCAGTTGGCATTATGGACTCTAAAACAGTAGGTACCGCTTGCAACTTTTCATGTCGACATCAACCAGTGACAAGATTGTACTGTATCTGTATTTTTACACTGATTCTGAGCGTCTTCGAGTATTGAGTAGATATGAACGCGACATACTTTTAGTCTTAGGATCATAAGGCAACTTGAAAATCTTTCTAATTTCATCGAAAAAAGTCGAAATGCACACTCAGCAACTTTGTGCACATTCGGGCAGTAGGTAATGAGCCACACCTAATGATAATGCCTGGCTGCCAAAACCTCAGTAGGTGGAGTGGAGCTCGGAACCGTGACCCACTGATTGAAACCAGCGAACCACAGCTCCAATTCCATCTAAAGTGTGGAATGATGCCATTATAAAAGTGTCTTTAAGCACTATTTAGTGCAGCGTCTTTGGAGGAAGTCATATGAGGAAACAATCGACAGACGAATTGCTTCTCTTTGGAGGTGGGTGGGGGAAGACAATCAGGTTGTAATGTTTAGTAATGTAGAAAACAGGAAGATGAGCAAAAGAAGTTGGAGGAGAACGCAACTGGAATATAAACATGAATGATCTTTGCAAAGATATTCATTATATGGCTGTAATATTTTCAGTACTAAATTTCATTTGCTGAATAAATAATCTTTCGCCTTGTTCATTATTATGATCCTCATAATTGTATACTGAGTGGTGACTAAAGGTGAAGTGGAAATTTGGGCCCACGGCGAGATTCGAAACAGTGACCTCCAGGTTAGCGGCCAACCAAATGAGCTATGAGAAACGACCGCTGACTGGATTATAATTTCACTCCAACCATCACAGAGGGTTTTTCCTTAGTGCCATATGAATTCAGTATCCAGTATCAATAGACCACCTGTTTCACTGACAAGGTATTTAAATATCTACAAAGAAATCATAGATGCAGTGAATGACTGTGGACTGTCACAAAAACAGAATAAGGTGTGACACAACAGTTCATTAATTGAAATGGTCACATCATCACTTGACAGCGTAACCAGGGAAGCCAGTGTTAGTAATAAATAAGATTTTTATTATAAGCCAGAGAATGTTTGAGTGAACTATGAATATTGAAGAGTTAGGATGAGGCAAAGAGTATTGTAATATAGTTTGACTCATGACTGCTCGAGGCGGCCAGACTAAAAATGTCATCAATATATGACTATTGGTTTAAGCCAGGTGGTGCGATGCAGACTAGCCGGTTGGGGTCCGCGGGACAAGAGAAACCAATGGTTGGAGACTAGGTGATATGACTGAGAAACGATGTCACTGGCGCAGATGTATACACACATCATCCTCATCTTAACGCTATGCCGAATCTTACCATTTTCTCATTCTTCCCTTTCTCTCTTTTAGTGCTCAATGTCTCTTTTGACTGGATTTTCTTTTCTTCGTCTTCCACTTCACTGCCTTTTTACTTGATATACTGATATGAGCTGTGACATCTTTGACCTGTACTCAGTAATGCCTGGTCCTATGTTGATTTGGATGAATGGATAGATGACTCATGACTTTGAGTATCTCTTGGTCTAATGACTACCAACAAGCCTCAACGCATTTTAATCTGTTTATTAAACTAACGAAATATACCCATTTATTCATTAACAAGAACGAGGCATGTATCAGCGAAGAAATATTTCTTTTCAACAACTTCATTATCAAGCTGTACAGTCGTATTTATACTCGGTTAAGCGACAAGTAATTGCACTAAAACAGTTGCTCAGTCAGTATACAAAATATACAATCGGTGTAGATGGTGGTATTTGTTCAAGTGGAAGAGATAAAAAATGGTTCATTGAATAAGGAGGGAGGAATTGATAACAAGTGGTGAGATAAGAGACAATTGTCAAAAAATTGTACAACGGTGATAATGAAGCTGAAACATGTAAAATAGGTCAATGAATAAGGCAGGGAATTGATATTAAAAAGTGAAATATGGGTCAAATGTTGTCAATCAAGTGAAAATTGGCGATAATGATGATAATAGAAGAGAAGTATACCAAAGTGAATTGAGATGAAATTGACAAAATCAATAAAATGAATTGTTAAGGCCAAGGTAGAGAAAGTGGTTTCACAAAATGTTTTTGAATGCAAAGTTTCAGTTTTTGTTGATGTGTAGCTAATGCTTCAGCTATGCATAAATGGTGGAAACGTAAACCTTTAGAGTAGTTGAATTTTAACTTTGTAAATTATTTTAAAGGATGAATCTCGAGGTGCTGAGTGTCCCAATTCAACAAGGTGTTCACATATAGATGAAGTCGTTTTCCATTGGTCGCCTCTGGTAAGCCAAACCGGGTAGTGTTCAACAACACGTTTTCGGAGTGCCCGCTTACAACGTCCAATATAGTCAGCTCCACAGGAGCATGTGAACTTGTAGATACATATAGATGTGGACATAAGTGGAAGCCTATCCTTCACTCATTGATGAATCAGACGGCGGCTGGAGAATATCATTCTTAGTCTAGCAGCATGAAGGCTATTATTGATACATCTTGACAGACGAGTTTTCAGCACTTCAACTGTCGTTGAAAAGAAATATTTCTTCGCTAAAACATGCCTTGTTCTTTTTATTGGAGTTAATACACCATCTTCACGGGATTTTCTATTCTTATTCCTCATTGTTTTCATTTCAGATAATCTACTAAATTAAATGATTTATGATATCAATTTCTGTAAAAGAGAGAGACCTAGTCAAAATAATCAAAAATGAATCGTTTACGAAGAACATTCAGTTTTCGTAAACGTAAAAAGCAGAATAATAAAAGTGAAGCTGGTGATTCCTCTAAACCACAGCAATGGTTAGATGATGAAGTCAAAATTAAGGAAGGATTTTGTAGTTTTCAAGTTAAAGTATGTTATGATAACATACACTTCATTTCTATTCCAGTACTTAGGGAATATTGAAGTTTATGAGTCAAGAGGAATGCAAGTATGTGAAGAAGCTATTAAAGCTTTACGAAAGTCAAAGGCTTGTTCTGTTTATTTAAATTAACATTTGATTGAATTTAGAAAAAACCTCAAAAAGCTATTCTTTCTGTTAGTGGAGATGCACTACGTGTTTCCGATGATGTCAGTCAGGTAATTCTTTTTTTAGATTACCCTTAATCTCTCCCTTATTTCAAGCACCTTATTGTGGATCAGACTATTGAGAAAGTCTCTTTTTGTGCACCTGATCGAAATCATGACAAAGGCTTCGCTTACATATGTCGAGATGGTGCAACGCGTCGCTGGATGTGTCATGCGTTTCTGGCTGTCAAAGAGTCCGTAAGTATTCTTGTGTATAATAAGCCTATATGTATAATATTATGTAACTTAGTAAATAGCAGTGGTGACGTTTTTTCCTACATCCTTTGATAATGGTACGCATTCGTAACGGAAATGAGTTTGAATAATGCTTTCACTTACATAAAAAAAGTCTGTGATCTTTTCTTCGTTTGCTTGTATTGATTTTGCAACGGTTGCATTCAGAATCGGCATTATCAGAGGAGCAACTCCTGTACTATGTATTTAACACTACTGATGGTGTAACTTCCATGCATTACTAACCTACTCAACTCCATGAGTGACAGGATTCATTCCTTGGACAGTTAAACAATTATACCTGACTGATAACTGCTACCTTGACATGGTGGGCGGTGTTGTATATCACAATGACCTAATGACGGGACACTTGTTCCCTCGAGGTCCTACCATGTTAGAAAGGTCTGTTGCCTAGTGATAAGATGGAAAGCATTTACTGGTGTAGTGTAAAATACTCTGCTATGATGGGGGGTATGAGGGCTAAGTCATACTGCTGCTGGATTGGGTGTAACAGCAGTAAGGTGTTACCCTTGGATGACCAGCAATGCCACGCTGATACTGCCTTCCCTATGGGAAGAAAGGGGTTGGAAAAGTTCCCCCTCTCTGTGCCCCACCGTCTTCGAGAGCCTACGGTATGAGTTTCTTCTATCCGGCGTTAGAACCACCGAACCTAAAATCAGCATCACACAAAAGGTCGTGTGTGACAGGCCTCACACAGATGTCCCATGGGCTCTGTGGTTGCACAAATCTTTTTCTGTTTCAGATACCTGAAGTAAAAAAGTAGCCTTCCACAGTGTGGGCAGCCGAAGTGTTAACCACCCACACATTTCTAGTGGTAAATAATTGTACGCTTCCTGCTAAATTTAGGTAGTATACATACTACACGTCCCAGCCACTTTAGCCGGTACAGGTTCGCAACCTCATCAACTTACTAACTTTTACAGCATGAAACTGTGCATTTTTCCTCAACGTTACTGTCTCCATAGTTCCATCACGCATGAGCAGCTTTACGAAAATATCTGTAGTTACTCAAGGTTTTAGGAAAACATTGTACTTTTTCAACCTTACGGCCAGGGCTAGCAAACAATGAACAGTATAGAAGCTGTTAGGACGCTATACGTAACACAAGTCCAAGCCGCCGAAGTCGATGTTTACAGTTGACTTCACTTACTGAATGACGATCTCGATCATGTCCATGCACACATCGCACCTCAGAATTACTTACAAGGTGTTTCTGCCGGATATGAGCCATCCGGCGGAGACAGCGACGACCGAACACAGAGTTGTCGCACATCCTCACCTAGGAGAGGCCAGGTTTCACGGGTGTAGGGCAGAACTGTTCGCACCGAAGCGTTGTAAACCCGACCTATTACGGTCAAACAAACGTCACAACGGTGCCAAAGGTGGCGCAGATTGGCATATGCCACTCTGGCTTTCGATATGCGATTAGAAAAATCATCACACACCTCCACCGTCACTCACATAATTACCCAGATACACGAACTTTTTGACTACCTCCAACTGCTCACCACCAACGATAAGTGCAGGCCCAGGCTTCTGCAAATCTTATTGAAGTATTTTGCACTTTGATGGCTATAAGCACATAGCATGCTTACAGACACGGTATGAGTAGTACAGTTTTAAGGCGATACTACTATTCTGGAGTACGTTAGTTGGCTGCATACAAGTCTAAGAATGAGCTTGAAGTTGACCAATCTCAGAAAATGTCTTTGCTTTCACTAAAGAATTCAGAAAATCACCAATATGAAATGGTATATATAGAACTGAAGTGGTGCCTGTAGTCCACCAGGGTCTAATGGATAATGCTTTGGCGTTTGAAGTGATGAGTACTGGGTTCGGGTATCAGTAGGAAAAACCACTTACACTGGGGTATAGGTACATCCAGCTGACAAGTCCCAGGTAGGATGAGACGCACGTCGTGGATTCCACTGCTAGCCTCCAGGTAGACTACAATAGAACTGTAACATTGGTTAGTGTCATCATAACTGCATCATCTCATTAGATACCTTTTGAAGAACTGTTTGTAGTATAGATGTGACCATAGGCCTTCGATAGGTGTATTTCAAAAATCTGCAAACTATTTCTTCCTCCATCTACAACCTTTCAGAGTTCAGTGTATGCAGTTCAACTGCATATTTATCTGATTTGACTGTAATAGGTGTTCCCCGAGTGATTGTGTGACATAATATGATGTTATTTTATGTTATAGCAAGAAGTTTATATGGTTTGACTAGGACACTTCATGAAGTTCCTCCAGAGTCTCTACCGTTTAAAAAGCGATAAAACCGTTCATAGTATGGGGGATGGCTAAAAAGCCAGTTCAAACAAAAGGGAACAGTCAGATGGCTTGAAGATGTACCGCGCATCCGGAGCCACCATCTACCTCGACGTGCCATGCTAGGGGAAGCTGGATTAGGTTGGAAGAGGGTTGAGGGTGGCCAGACAAAGATGTGGTGCCAGTCGATGAAGTTAATTGTTGTTGGTGTGAACCGTGTAGAGAGATGTAGACTGCCTGATTGGCGTTCCTAGGACAAAAGAAATCAGTAGTTGAGAACTCTTCATGATATGGCAGAAAATCGGTAACAGGAGTGCAGATGTATTCACTGCTTGACATCTAGGGCTTGAATATTTTCACACTAACCGTTATCTTCAGATTGCTTATTCTCTCACACAACATTGTCTACTTTAATATCACTCCTTTTCTATCCATCTGTTCTTTGTGTACTAATGTGAAGTGTGACAATTTGGACAGATGAACTTATGTGCAAGGTTCTACGTTGATTTTGTCAGTCAGTCATTTTTATTGAATTTTATTGAACTATCCGATTGCATACTTAGTATTATTTAAATCAAGGTGTAAATTTTATTTCAATAGGGTGAACGATTATCTCATGCTGTTGGCTGTGCTTTTGCAATATGTCTGGAAAAGAAACAGAAACGTGAACGAGATGCTCTTCAGTTAGAGGCTTCTGATGAACGTCCAACTTTTGCTCGAGTCGGTTCTTTTCGACCAGTAAGTTGATCATACTTCATTGTTATACCTTGAAAGTTAATGATGGATCGTGGCTAGCAGTGGAATCCAGGATATGCATTTCGTCCTACTTGGGACTCGTCAGCTGGATGTTGTCCCCACCAGGATTCGGACTCGGGAGCGATCGCTTAAAACGCCAGGGGTTTCCACTACACCACCGAGCCACGATAGCCACTTCTTGTGCGACGGGTATAGTTTTTAGTATAATTCTTTTTGTATGATATCGTCGTTGATTGGACGGAATTGATCGGTCTCTATTGGCATATGGGCTCCTATGCGGATGCCTCGATATTGCCAGCGTCCTACCAATCAACGACGGTATCATATAAAAACAACTATACCTTGAAAGTGGTTGAATTATTGTTGACCAGTTTAAAATAACTATTACGTGAGTGGGATACAAAAATTTATTTTCTTATCAACTTCAAGTCAATACACCTCATCGAATAATGCTAACACATGGAAATATTTCATAAACTTCAGGGTCAAAATTCGACCTGATAGAGTTGAATAGGTTGAGGACTCCATAAGTGGATTATAAAGGAAATGTATTTGTAAAATATCAATGCAGTAGACTAATTGCCAGTGTTTCATGACCTCATGCAAGCCACTTCCTTCAGAGGATGAAACCTGTACAAGTTATCGACTGTTGAAATAGTATATGGTGACAAATCAATCACATCACATCCTTCATATATGATGACCATAATAATGATGATAATAATAATATGGGCATAAATGTAAATGTTATTGTTATCAGTGATGATTAGTCCATGACTTCAAGGTAAGGTAGGTGTGAGATGGAGAACTGGTGTTATGTGTGTGTGTGTGTGTGTGTGTGTGTGTGTGTGTGTGTGCGTTCCGGATATACTATCCAAGTTAGTTGAATAGTTAGATCTTCCTTTCTCTGCTTATGGTCCATCACGATTCATCTTTTCCTTGTAGTATGAATAACCTTCATATTCTCAATATCAATTCTGTGACTATGATAGACAGCACAAATCCACAATTGCTGATTTGATTTGTAAATTCTCCAGTTGTACAAGATTATTTGGAGGTTGTTTTGTGCAGGGTTGCATGTTGTTTAATATGAATGAGGATGTCTCAGGATGATTCCCTAATAATAATCAACATCACAATCAACACAGCCTAATCTGTAGATACAATTCTGTGTGGAGGGAGGTAGAGAGGAATTTTATATTTTAAGTGAAGTGAAGCATTGCTGAGAGTGAGTGTTGGTTGTCTTGTAGACGGTTGTGATTCAGAGGTTTCTTAGAATCGATTGTGACTGTTCAGTTGTACGTTAGTGGAACAGTAGAGGTGTTGTACTCATTCAAGATCCCTCATTTGATTTTCCTCTTGAATTGTTCTGCACATAGCTTTTAACCTCTTGAATGACATTCTCAGGGTTGTGATTGTAATGCATCTTTCTCATATCACACTGACATACGCTCACGTCTTCACCTTGAACTCACGAAATAATCACTGACATCGATAACATTTAAGCCCATACGCCAACGTGTACATGTTATTATTCTCTCTGAAGGAAGCGACTGCCATGAGGTTGTGAATCGTCAGAAATTTATTACTTTTCTACCTCATTAAGATTTTTACATATGTATTTCATTAATAATACATGAAAATATTGTTTCGAAGACGTATTGTTAGTTTTACTTCAAGGAATTCAGAAGCTGAATTTTCAGATATTCTCTATCTAGTACAATAATGTTATCCTTTCACTGTAAAGGAAGATAGCTCGTCTAATAAGGTTCAGTGACGTGAGTTGGGACGGGGGGGGCGTATACTAAGCATACCTTATGCATGGTTTAAATCTAACCGGTTTCTACGTCCTCCATTTCTCTTTACTGTGAAAGATAGACTGATGGATGTACAGAGGTGCATCATTTCAAATTATCAAGCTTCGAAATAACACCTAGACATGTGACCAAAGGTGTTATATGCTATCAAACTAAGCGAGATTTTTGAAAGCCGATCTTATGCTCACTGTATCCTCGGTTCGAGACTTGCTCCACCTATTTCTACCTGAGCAACCGGATAGTATCATTAACAGTTACACAATATACGTGCCTCATCATAGCCTAGCGCATAAACATTTATTGGGTTTAGTTATATTGTTATGATAACAATAATTATCATTACTATTGCTATTGCTACCATTGTTACCACCATTATTGTAATAATACTACTGTTGTTATCATTACACTATTATTATTGTTATTGTCATTATTATTATAGGTGTTAAGAGTGCCTGAAGCATTTTACTCTGTTCTTCTCATTGACAAAAGACAATGATGTGAGATAATTTTGTTCATAATAAGTGTATTACTTATTTTGAGAATTGATATTGTATGGTGATTGAAGGTGAAGTGGGAATTTAGGTCACGGCAGGATTCGAACCAGAGACCATTAGGTTAGGGGCCTGGTGCTTTACAAACTGAGAGGTACGAGATCCAATTACTGGTCATGTTTCTATTTCACTTCAGTCACCAAGGTCTTTTGCCCCCGACTGCTATGTGAAGTCGTAATGCTTTACCATAACTTGATCGTACTCATGCTGAAGAATCACATTGATTATCACTTCGCCAAACCACCACTATCTCAGATAGTCAAACTGATGTTCTAATGACTGTTTACTTCACTATATCGGCCTGGTGAGTTTAAGTGAAGAACTGTATATGGCTCCTGTATACGTGCTTCATAAACACATCAGAAGTCCATGGCCGTAGATGCCACTGTTTTGGCCAGCTAAGCTTATTGGCCAATTTAATGGAGTTTTTGAGCATTCAAATCTCCAATGTGTAGTTCTGAGTACAGTTTCAGGCGATAAGAGATACTGTTCCGTGAACTATAATCTTTCTCAAGGATTGGAGAGCTGGAACAAATTATTTGTTGATGCTTACAATTCCCCGTCGATGATTAAACTAGACTGAAGTGATCAGTCTGTCTTGGCGTATAGGCTCTTCTAATGGATGTGTCTCAGTAGTGTATCGAGTTTCATTTTCATCATGTTAGGTTCAAATGTCACAGGGAACACTACCACTCACTGGAATGCAGAAACATTCAGCTGATGAGTTCCAAATTAAACGAATAGTATATCCTTAACCCCTTTGCTAGTCACCACCGAGCAAAATCTATGCCGGGATGTTCACTGAGATATGTATGAAAAGAGTAGAGGGCAAAGACTGTGAAGATCGATAATGATCTAACACTTCTTAGTTGCTCATGTTATTTAAAGTTTATTTCTTAGAGAGGAACTGAATTAGTTTTATGTAGTGACAGAGTCACAAAGAACATCTGCTTGAGTTTGGTCAAAACTTGACTTTTGCAAGTTTGACATTTAGCTTCAATTTTGTTGAATCAAGCTAGGAAACTTGCACCATTGGCGTTGAAAGACTGTATGGCAGAAAGAAATGTACTGTGCTAGAAGCAGACGGTTTTTAGCTCCTCAAGCATAGACCATACTGGTCATCTATGGGAAGCACCTTACTACTGTCACACCCTTGTCCAACCAGTGGTACAACTTCTCCTTTGGATTCTCATCATACCGTAACTTTTTGTACTACGATAATTCAATTTTACGGAGTAACTATTCCTACCTGCATAGCTTGTCGAGTCATTATTAGTATTCAAGCCCGATCATGACATTAAGGTTTCAGCTATTTCGCACCTTCCACTCACCATCAATAACTGTTGCCATCTATCCAATTAGCACAAAGTTTGAGTAGGAATTAGCTTAGCACACTGACTGGAGTTTTAAGCGACCGATCTCAAGATCGAGTTTTAATGGAGAACAATATCGCTCACTTTGGAAGGCAGGCATATTCAGCTGACGAGTCCTAAATAGGACGAAAGACGCATCAAACTGGAATCTACTCCTATCCACTACTTATCATTATTATTTTAACTTTTCGGTTAACACTTTTTATTTTTCATCGAAGGCTACACTCGCTGAACGATTACTAGATCCTCAGTCTACAATTACAGCTGAACCGGTACCAATATCGAATAATCTACCTTCCAACTCACCAACTGAATTATCCCGTGTATCTTCACCAGTTAGTAATATTGGAGCTATTCCACGTCCCCATGCTAGTCCATCTATTATTGAGCGTCAGGTATGTGTTCTAAATTGTTTTGTTGTTGAAGTGTATATCTTGTGATTTTAAGCACCCAGGTAGTATCGTTAATCTGTCACACAATAAGTGTGGCTCACTGTCTAGTGAACTTATTTGTACTCCATAAAGTCTCTGGTTGTTGATCTGACCCGCCTAGAGAAGTATGGACTGCCTATTTAGTTGTGTTGAAATCCAGCTGTTGAAGACTCTCAGTAACATAATTTGAAGTCGAATCTATTGACAACAGATTAGCTGATTTTATATTGTCCCGTTTAATGTCATTTAATCTCCCTTCAAGTTTTCCTCTCATTACTGTTGTATAGTATTGTGATGCTGAAATGTAAGTACTTTTATGCTAGATGATTGCTTTGTTTATTTCATAATTGAATATGTTTTACACTAGGCATGTATATTAGAAGGCTGGAGACAGTTGATAGGAATCCCTAGCTGATCTAAGTTTTGTGTTTGTCGGCAGTCGTCAACAAGGGGTAGGAATTGATTTCTCTTCTGAGATGGGTACCTGCATCACTCGGTGTTACAGTCAACGACATTACCATCGAACTATTCGGGTTACTGACTGAAGAAGTTAGTCAGTTGTCTTTCACAATGTTTATCTGTGGCACCTTACAGTTCCTCGATATTCTTACATTGTTGACTTCATTGAATAACACTATTCCTAGGCTTTCAGAGGATTACCTTCAAACAACTACCATCCACTAAAGTGTACCCCGCGATAGTGAGTTTCCTAGTCTGGGGGTGGTCACATTGCAAAAGTGATCGATAGAATTCGGTCAACACTCAGGACTAGGCAACATGAGATTGGTTGCTATCTAGTGACCAATCAAATTATTATTATCATTATTAGTCCCTCAGGTTCTTAGTGGGACATAGGGTTTCAGTAGCATATCACCATTTCACTCTGTTCTGTGCAGTCTTTCCAACCTCGCTCCACGACTGTCCACAAGCTTTCATTTCTTCCTCACACCATTTCCTCCATGTCACCCTCGCCTCGGATGCCCACCTCTTAGTTCCCCATTTGGTTTCCACTCGACGGCCTCACCTGGCGCGTGATGTCCTCAAACCGTCTTCTCAGTGTATGTCTAATCCATCTCCACTTTCTTCTTGTTGGGTGATGGGTTCTTGGTTGGTTCGTTGCCAGCCAGCCAGAGTTCCTTATTGCTTATTCTTATTATTCTAGCCATCTAATCTTCAGTATCAAGCGAGCGTAGATGGCAGCTGTTGATGTATGTATGTCTGTAGTTTGTCGGAAATGCTTTTCGTAACTCTTCAAGTCTCTTAACCATCACGTAGAATCACTGACTAACTTGACTGACATTAGTGTTGAAAATCTGGATCTGGTTCTTTATACTAAGTGCAGTGCAATAAATCTTCACATTAATTTCAGACTCATGAAGGAAGGCCTGTATTGCTGTGTTTTCGATCCTGGCTTTAACATCCTCATCTGTGCCGCCGCCTGTAGTTAAGACGATGCTGCCTACGTAGGTAGGTGAAAGAGACAACTTGCTTTAGATTTCTCCCACTAATGATGATCGGTGCTGGTTGTTGTTGATTAGATATCTTCATCACCTCTCACTTCTCTACGTTCACCTTAAGTCCTGTCTTCGCTACCCTGCCTCTTCTGCCAAGTTGTTAGTTTTCACCTGTAGATCTTCGAGTTTGTGAGACAAGACATCAGACATAAATCATCATCGAGGGTCTTTTCATCAGTCAAACAGCTTGTACCCATTTTCTCTCTCCTCACAGTTTCTTGCATGACCTAGTCCAGTCGAGTCGACCACAATCAGGAAGATGACCAGTGGTAGTAGGTAGCCTTGTCTTACTCCTTTCTTCACTTCAAAGGCATCACTGAGCTTTCCGTTGTGAATCACTTGGGACGTAGCATCATGTAGCATATAGCTGCTGTTGAATGAGATTGATAAAGGTTTGTGGTACTAAAACCGTAGTGCTGAAGTAACTGCCAAATTACTTCTTGGTCGAGGCTGTCGAGGGCCTTTTGAAAACCAATGAAGTTGAGATTGAGGGTTGAATGCCATTCTATACTCTGTTCTATGATGATGCGTAGCGTTGCAATTCGGTCCGCATATGATTTGTTCTTCCTGAAGTCAGTCAGCCAGCCTGTTCGGGTCGTAATTTTGAATTCAGAGCATGTTTTAGTCTCTCCAGGATGATGCGGCATAATATTTTGCTTGTGGTGGACAGAGGTGGAGCATGATTCCGCGCCAGTTCTTGCAAAGACTTAGGTCACATTTTTCCATCATTTTGTGAATACACATTTAGGTAACGTAAAGTGATAGTTTGTCCTTAGTACACTCAAGAATTATTAGTCAATGAGAGGAAGTGATCTGTAGTTTAGCCGAACAAAATGACTTTTTCGGAGGTTGGTTTGGCTTGGCTTTTAAATTTTCCGCAGCAAACCTCATCATCAGGAAGCTTTCTACTGACTGACGCTTAACACCACAATACATTGCATCACCCATCACTGTCACGTGGCCAAGTCGCAGATTTGATCGGTAAACTGTGGTCAGTTCTACTCACTCAGTATTAGACAGTTTCATCATTTACCCAATTGGTGAATAGTATGATATAAAGTAGGAAAACTTGATAACGAAAGCCACGTTGAGTGAATTTTGTTTGTTTGTATGTGTGTCGCCGGTGGAGGTGGGGTTGGAGCTCCGCTTTCCTTCTCCTTTTATCCCCTCATAGTAGTAATGATAATGGTAACAATATTCATAATACAGCTCAATGCAGTTGTGTATTTGTGATGGTGAATAATACTACTAACTAATTAGGGACAAAGAAAGTAGTATGGTGGTTTCGAACCTATGAATTACTGGTTGGTTATGTCATGCAACCGTTGACTACAACACTGGGTGACGCGGGTTTAAATCTGAAGCAGGACATCAGTTCCATGAGGGTTATAGATACACCTTGCTGACGAGTGCCAACAAGTACGAAACATAGGTCGAACCGACTAATGAAAAGCAACCAAAATGTCTAAATAAATCACTCATTTTAATTTGAAGGATGGTGAGGGATTTATTTATTTATTTCAGGGTGGTATTCTTCACAGACTGACATCAGTTGGAGAACCATTGAAGAAATCTGGGTAGCACCGGAAAATTGTTTCGTCCCTTATTATAGGATTCTTCATCGGTGTGCATCCACGACCCTGCCAGGGCTTGAGCCCAAGACTTTCGAGTTCCGCTGTCAGGACGTCCTTAATGCTCAACTTTCTCTCTACTTCTCTCAATTCATGATATAACGCGACCTTCATCGAATCCTGTTGTTCAGTAACTGTCTTCACTTCCGATTTGACCTCCCGCAGTGATCATGACATCTTATTAGAACTTCGGGAATCTCATCTCAAAGTATGTCACTAACGACCACTGGACAGTAATCCAGTTTGAGAGTTTATGCGGTTTCATTTATTAATTTCAAATTGGTATTCATCATCGTCATCATCATTAGTGACTGATGAGTAATCGGAACCAGTGGGTGGAGCAAATCAAATGGGATAGGGAGGGGAACAAATATTCAACAATGGCATTGGATGGTGGTTATGCTAAATTGTCAATCGACTGAAGCAGGAAAATGTAAACCATTACATTCTGACCCAGAGACTCAACCTTGACGTTCCCACTGTGAAACCTGAAGGTCTTGAGGTCAGTCCCTGGCATGGTCATGAGTACGTGCTGCTGAGGAGCTCGATGCTAAGAGGAAACAGGTGTTCAGTGCTCCGAGGTCTCCAATGTTTTTCTAACTGATGTTAGTCCATGGTAAATACCAACCTGAAATCATTTATTTATTTGAAATATTATTGTTTTTACCAGCTGTTCATCTTTCTAGTTTATTGCATGGTCACTTTTTGTTGTCCATCAGGGTTCTCTTCGGATATTCCCAAAGCTTCAAGAGAATAGTCCTTTCAAAAGAGATCTATCACTACGGCTTGAAGGGATGCCTTCAAATTTACGACGTTTAACCGGAATAATTCAGGGTAGGGTTTTTAATTATTTTACACATTTTTATTTCGATGAATCACTCACATGCTAAATTCAATTGTGTTGATTAGTAATCTCATGGGGTTCGAATTTCGATGTGAAGGGTAGTAGACAAGGAAGGAAAGTCCGTCAATAAGGTTATGAACGATCATCAACTGAACTGACTCGAACATGCGCTGTGCATACCAAGCCACCGCCTACCTTGACATGCCATGCTAAGAGAAGTTGGATTGTATCGGAAGAAACTTCAGAGTGGCAAAACCCTAGACGTGACCTCAGTTGATGAAGTTCCTAACTGTTGATCTGAGTTGTGTAGCGAGGTGTAGACTATCTGACTGGGGTTCCTGAGACGAAAAGAATCAGTGGTTGAGGACTACTAATGACGTGGTTGAAAAACAGTCATAATGGCACATATGTATTCTCTTTTCGACTGCTTCTAATGCTTGAATTTTTAACTTCTGTCTTCTTCCACAAACCGTTGTCTAGGTTGAGATCACTGTCTTCCTATACGCTTGTTCTTTATGTTCTACTATAGAGTTTGGGAGTTGCTAAAGTCCCCTACTGTGTTTACACTTTTCATAGACATACTAATGGACATAACCTTAGGTACATCTGAGTTCACAGGGATTGACCTTCTTCCTAGAGGTCATTTGGTTGACTTGGAGTATGCAGACGAGATGGTCCTGTTAGGTGAAGATAATGACAAAATGTAGGGTCTTCTGAACGCGTTGAACAGAAATCTGAGTGTGTTTGGCATGCATTTCGCATCTGTCGAATATAAGATGATGCTCCGGGACTGGTCTGCTGCAAGTTCTCCCAGTTTACTGATAAGGACTGAAGTAGTGGGATGCCAGCCTGAATGGGTTGGCTGCTGACCAAATCTCAGTTTGGATATAGAAGGCCCGTTTAGTATTTGCCAACTTTTGTCACTTGTGACACCGACTAGCGAAATATCCAACTATTTATCGAAAGATGAGTATACTGCGCTGCAGTTTGTTCTATCCTTTTGTATGGCTGTGAGACATAGCCTTTAAAAGTAGAAGACATGAAGCAGTCACATGTGTTTGATCGGATTTTATGTAATTGCCGTGTGAGAAATGTTGAGGTCAGGTGAAGGGTACTAGGTAAAATAGGCAAGTCGACTGGGATGACTTGAACATGTACTGTGCATGCCAAGCCACCGCGTACCTCGATGTGTCATACTAGAAGAAGTTGGACTAAGTTGGAGTAGGGTTGAAGTCTCTTACCGTTGATCTGAGTCGTTTGAGGAGATGTAGACTGCCTGGTTGGGGTCTCGGAGACAAATGGAATTAGAAGTTGGGGACTATTGGTGACATACACGAAAATCGGTCACAGTGGTGCAAACGTATTCACTCCTTGATATTTTCTGATATCAATCTTCTTCTACCCACCTGTTCTTTGTTGCTACTGTGAAGTGTGGCGACGTAAGACGATGTACCTGTATGCAAGGTTCTACGTGGATTGTGTCAGTCAGTCATGTTCTACACAAAGATCACCAATACTGTCTGTTCGTTCTACCTCTATGAAAGTAACTTTAGGTGTGATGTTTTTATAACTTTTCTGTTGAAGGCCATTTTTCTACGTATCCTATTCATAGGATTTCTGATGTAATAGATTTTTCTCTGTAACTAACCGCAAGGATATTCAACACTTCAAGACATAATTTTCAAGAGTTTTGTTCATTGGATGACCAATTCGCTGATGATTTACAAATTCCGTGGTCCCTGTTAGACACTTGTCACAGGTGAATAATTAGCTCTTCAACTGCCCAACTGTGATGAAAACCACTCCGCCCTCGATAAAGACTACAAGGTGTCATGAACTAGCGAAATATACTACCATTGACCGAACAACTTGATTAGTTAGAAACCATTCAGGCAGTTGAAAAATGTCAAGGTGGATCGTGCAATTTGTAAATCATCTGCAAACTGATCATTCATGCTAGTTAGCTAGCCGGATTCAGGTAATCTGAGCTAATTCGGTTCTATGAGTTGTATTTGTTCGAGTACGCTGCTGATGATCTTGATGCTAAACGAGTGAAACTGTTGTCAGATGTTTCAATCATTGTGACCTGATCTGGCTAGTGGAAACCTACAAATGGGCTTAGCGCTTAGCTATTACCATAACAATTCATATCTGTATTTCTAACTAATTAGATTCAACTAGGAAGCATATCCGCATAGAATTGATCTAACTTCTGAATTAGTATTTCAACTAGTCAACCAGTTTTGGTTAAGAATAACATTCCTCACCCGGGGTGAGAAAGGCGCGCATCCCAAATAAGACGATACGTCTGCTAACCATTCACTATCCGTCATTAATTCTACTGATAAGTTTTTCTTCAAATTTCTTTTCTTTTCTAACCTGTAGGTGCACCGATAGCTGAGGAACCATCTGATGCAGATTTTGAATCATCGAAACAGGGATCAATCATAAAAAATAATGAAAAAACTGAACACAAAGAAACAGTAATAACAACATCTGCATCAAATTTAAGTCCATCTAAAATGACTAGTCAATCTATTCACCTTCCAGTTGTTGTAAATGGTTCACCTGTGACAACTCAACCTATTATCTCTACTCTTCAATTGGCTAACAGTCAGACTATTGATTCTAAAGCATCACAAGCGTTTATGCCAGTCTTCTCTGATCCTTTCGCTGCTGCACCAGTCAATCCAGCGACAATACAACAACACTATCAAATGGAATTACAACAATACCAACAAAAAGCTCAACAACAACAGCAAGTAATAAATTCACCAGTATTAAACACTAAGGTAAGTATGAGTTACTCATTAGTAGTTCATCAGTTGTATGATATCTCTCTCTATTGGATTTTCAATGATAAGGTTACTTCTAACCCGGATTGATTCAATCAACTAGAAAAAGTTTTTGAGATAATATAACCTGTTGAGTTGTAGTTTTCTGAATGCTGTATGCATGGAAAACCTGTGTGTTTGTTGTACATTGTATGCTGACTAAGGGTAAAAGGATACTTTGTTTCACTTATCTAAACAGACACTTGGTTTATTAGTTAGGAGTGAAATTGTCATATGCATTTTGTACATCGCTTCTCTAATTACCAAAGAAAAGAAACAAAGCAAACGATGGGCTGACCACTTCAAAAAGCTCTTGAATCGACCATCACCACCTGCACTTCGTCCAGAAATACCATCTTCAGCTACAGAACTACAAGTGAACACAAATCCTCCAACAAAAGTCGAATTCCTGAACGCCATCAGGCTACTGAACTGCAGGAAAGCATCAGGACCAGATAGAATCCCGCCAGAAGCACTGAGAGCATACTCAGGGACAACAACGGACATGCTCACACCACTATTGCAGGAGGTCTGGAAGGAAGGGAAGGTACCTGGTCATTGATTGGAAGAAGGGTTACCTTGCCAAACTCCCAAGAAGGGCGACCTAAGTGTTTGCAAGAACTGGCGCGGAATCATGCTCCACCGCTGTGCACGTCAAGCAAAATATTAAGCCGCATCATCCTGGAGAGACTAAAGGATGCACTGAATTCAGAACTACGACCCGAACAGGCTGTTTGGCTTCAGGAAGTACAAATCATGTGCAGATCAAATTGCAACGCTACGCATCATCATAGAACAGAGTATAGAATGGCAGTCAACCCTCTACCTCAACTTTATCGACTTTGGAAAAGCCTTTGACAGCGTCGACCAAGAAGTAATTTGACAAGCAGCTGCTTCAATACTACGGTTTTAGTACCACAAACTTTTATCAATCTCATTCAACAACTATATGAAGAAGCCACATGCCAAGTAATTCACAATGGGAAGCTCAGTGATGCCTTTGAAGTGAAGACAGGAGTGAAACAAGGCTGTCTACTATCACCCATGATGTTCCTGATTGTAGTGGACTGGACTGGATCATACAACAAACAGTGAGGAGCTGTGAGAAGAGGGGGATACGCTGGCTGGACTGCGGAAAAGAACCTAGAAGATCTGGATTTCGCCGATGACTTGTGCCTGATGTCACACAGACTCGAAGATCTACGGGCGAAAACCAACAAGTTGACAGAAGAGGCAGAGCAGCGAAACGGGACTTCAAGTGAACGTGGAGAAGACAGAGGTGATAATGATACCCAACCACCACCAACAACAACAAGCACCAATCACCATCAATGGGAGGAACTTAAACGAAGTAGCCTCTTTCACCTATCTAGGAAGCACTGTCTCAACTGCAGGCGGCACAGACGAGGACGTCAAAGCCAGCCAGGATCGGAAAAACAGCAAGACAGACGTTCATAAACCTGAAAGCAGTATGGAGCTCTTCTGCACTCGGCATAAAGCGTAAATAACATCAGGATTTTCAACATCCACGTCAAGTCAGTGCTTCTATGTGGTTGAGAGACTTGGCGCGTTACGGAAAGCATTTCCAACAAACTACAGACATTCATCAACAACTGCCTACTCTGGCTCGTTACTGAAGCTCAGATGGCCAGAAAAGAATGAGCAACAAGGAACTCTGGGTGACTAGCAACGAACCAACCAAGAAGCTATCGCTCAACAAATATGCATAGGAAGGAAGTGGAGATGGATTGGGCATGCACTGAGGAGACCATTCGGGGCATCACACGCCAGGCCAGTTGCTCGACTGGAAGCCAGATGGGAAAGGACGAGTTGGGCATCCGGGTTAAGGGTGACATGGAGGAGATGATGTCAGGAAGAAATGAAAGCTTATGGGCTGTCGTGGCAGCAGGTTCAAAAGATTGCAGAGAAGGGAGTGGAATATAGATGTGCTACTGAAGCCCTATGTTTTACTAGAAACCCAAGGGACAAATAATAATAATAATAATAATAATAATAATAATAATAATAATAATAATAGTAATTATTATTATTATTACTAAAGCAGGATTATATTGTCGCTAACATTTTGAATAGTATACAAAAAACTTGATCTCATTTGTAGAGTGATAAGTTCACCGTACAACTTGAAATCAATAAATTAATCCCTATAAACCTTCGAATTGAATTACTGTCAATTAGTCATTGGTAATTTGCTTCAAGATGACATTTCTTGAAGTTCTAGTAAGAAGTTGGATATGAGAACAGGTACTCAATAATGTTATTGAATGAAGATCCTGCTATATCATGAATTAACAGAAGTAGGAAGAATGTAAACCATTGAACTCTGACCCAGTGGTTGAATGTGGACATGATCGCTGCGAAACCTGAAGATTTTAATTTCGATTCGTGGGAGAGTCATAGGTATGTACTACTGAGGAGTTGGATACTAGGACGAAACACGTGTCAAGTGTTTCAAGGTTTCCAATGCTTCCACAGTTGATATCAGCCTTCTAATCCCAGAAGCCTTCAAATCGTCTCTAACTGGCTAAACATCAAGTCACCATGATGATCAACATAGGACCAGGCATTTCCGCTTAATGGTCGAAGTTGTCACATCTCATCTCATATCACCACATCAAGTAACAAGACAATAAAATGGAGGGTGAAGATGGGAAGAAAACTCAGTCGAAAGAAGTAGAAGTAGAGAATGATAGAAGAGAGGAAGGGAAGAATGAGATGATGATGCGATCAAGTATAGAGGTTAAGATGAGGATAATGTGTGTATGCATCTGTTCCATATCACCATATCATCTCCTGTGGACCCCAACTGCCTTGTCTGCACCACCTTACATGGCTCTAACCAACAGTCGATAACTTCATACATTGATGACCACCTCGAACACTTTTCACTAGCCCGAACCTACTTCGGCCAACATTGTGTGACGAGGCAGACGGTGACTAGGCATACATAACACATATCCCAGCCAGCCATCCCAGTCTTACCTATCCTACTCAAAACTCTACTTCTAAGTTCTGTGTCGCTCACCTGGTGACACTATGAAACAAGGCATATGCTATGAAGACAACGGTGGTCAAGCACCTGAAGCCTTCTCATGTCTCCTACCTCTAATGGACATACTTTACAACCACACAGTGGAACAGAGTGGACTGCAACACAGTACACTCAACCCACAGTAGACAATTGGATATCACAGTGGTGCCACCTGTGGCATAAGTTGGCAACAACCAAGCGAGCATTTTGTATGCGTGCAGAGATTTGGTGGACCACTGACCAACGGACCAGAGCAGGATTGATCCGACTTCTCAGGTAATCAGTGAAGTGTTCAACACACTGAACCAATTCAATCTCTGTTGTTATTCGGAGTACCGTTGAAGACCAGTTGTGGAGCAACAATTTGAATGTAGGTGGAGAGAGAGAGAGAGAAACATATGCCAAACATTCTTGAATTTCCACTCAAGGTGTTTAGAAGACTCTGGATCTTGTCAGCGTCTTCACCTAACAGGACTATGTCATCTGAGTATTCTAAGTCTACTGAGAGTTCTACTGTGATTAGGTCAATTCCCTTGTGATCAGATGGCAAGAGTGAGACCTCCATGAGGACATCTATGATAAAATGGAATTGAAATGGACAATTGCATTATACCGCTAGCTCACTCCATGTACTTCGGTTTGCGGAAAGCAGGTACTATTATAAGCCTGGAACACAATTAATGTAACTCATAGCTCATATACATAAGCATTCATCGCACTCAATTGTACTTTTTATTTGATTTTGTTTTACTATAGAGTTACTGTAAGCCTTGGGCATTTATTTCATATACAGAAATCCTAGCCATCAGGCGTACGTATATATAACAGAAATAAACTAGGCTATGCATGTGAAGTCTGTCAGTTAATCTACTGAAAATGTTGACACTTACCAACACCGATATTTTAGATTGATAGTACACACTTTTAGTAGACAATCATTTCGATATATGGTGGTTGGTGACTGATAATGCAAACAAAGTTGTTTTTTTTCAAGAATTCAATGTGAACATTGATTGTTACTTTGAGTTAATTGAACTAGCTACAAATTTTCTCTATTTGCATTGGTAATTAAGTCCCTCCTAAGTAGTATGATCATATGCTAAGTTAGTTGATGTATGTCTATTTGCATCATTTTATCGTAGTCTATTTGATGGCTAAAAGTGGAATGCAAGACCTGCGTTTCGTCCTATTTAGGAGTCGTCAGCTGGTTTTACCTGCTCCCCGATCAATGGTATTGTTCCCATGGAGGCTCGAACGCTAAAACGTTATCCTCTAGGCTACTGGGATATGAGAGATATCATTTGTGCTTCATTTTACTTTCTATTCCTCAAATCTTATCTTGCTTTGCTATCTGCTTTTCAAGTTCAGTTATTTTCGATTACTTCCATCCACTTTTTATCGTTTTTTCTCTCTGTAGAATGTTCTGTTCTGCGAGATCCTATTTTATCTCACCCGATAATCCATCATTTTTCAGTAGAAAGTAATTTGATTTACAAAACTTCCACAAATTGGCTACCTGGTACACACCACTCTTAATTTTCCGTTGTACTTGGTGGTGACTGGTAGCGGTGACCGGTGCGATTTGTTCTGTTTGAGACTCATCAGCTGGGTGCGCATCTGCATTCCCACTGAGACAAACTTCATTTTAAGTAGTTAGTCTCATTGTTTTTTTTTTCGAATTTAGTACTCACTTCATTTTGGTAAAGGCAGACTGATACATATTTTCAAAAACTGAATCCCATCATGATTCTGACTCTTTCGAACGGGATAGTCGGGCTTGTGTATCACAATGACCCGACAACCTACACTGATTGGGACTCTTGTTTCCCCTTGAGGTCCTACCATGCCAGGAAGACTTGTTGGATAGTGGTTAGACGGAAAGCTGTTGCTGTTGGACAGTGTAAATCGCTACACTATGATGGAGGTCTGAGGATGAAGTCGTACAGCAGTAAGGTGTCCCCTAGGATGATCATGAGTAGCATGCTGATACTGCCTTCCCTACCCGGTGGGGGGGGGGGATTGAAGAGGTTGGCTCCAAAAATAGCACACTCCTCCCTGCCTCACGGTCTTACAGTGTCGGCGGTATAGGCGTTCTCTATCCGGCATCAGAACAGTGAAATCTCACCCCAAAAATCCTCAAGCAGAGATGTCCTATGAACTCTGGGGTCACCAAATCTTTTTCCCTTTCGGGTACCTTAAAAAGATGTTGACTCTGATTAGTAATCGACATGTTTGTTGAATTCTGTCAGTTGTTAGAATTCTTTTGTAAATGCTTCCTGGTTCATATTATAATCACTCAAAACTACAAATTTTGTGCCATTATCAGGTACTTCAGGTGAATATTGTCTTGCTCACTGTGTCTGTGTGTCTATATGAGACCGGAAAGGATCAATCATTCATGTACACTTTCAGTTGAGTTGGGATCTTCTACTAACTCAATCTTCTTTTCCTATCTTCGTTATAATGTCATTACGGAAACCATGATTCTAACATGCTGCCAAAATTCTCTCTGTCTCTCTCTCTGACTCTGTCTCTCTCTCTGTCTGTCTGTCTCTCTCTCTCTCGCTCCTAATCCCACGCAATAGCCTCCGTGGTCTTGTTGAGTTTTGCTGTTAAATGAGATGTTAAGAATTTTAAAATTTTTAAGCATAAAGCAAATTGAATTACATATGACTTTCTAGTGAACATCTCTAGACTGTTGGATAGTAAAGTGCAAAAAATGACCAGCGGATAAAAAAAAGGTTTAGTATAACCCTTGTACGTGTATGGATGACACCTACCAAAATTAAACAATGAGGCAGTGAATGATACTGCATGGTTTCCTGAATCTGTTGAACAGTAATTTGAGTATGTTTGGTATGCATTTCCTACTTGTCAAATGTAAGCCGATGATACTTCAGGATTAGTCTGCTGCAAGTACTCTCAATTTAATGACATGGAGTAAAGTGGTGGAATGTGTCGACGACTTCATTTATTTCAGGAGGTTTATCAACTCGAATAGTCTGTTTGCTGACAGAATCTGAGGTCGGATAGAGAAGGTCCATTTGGTATTTGTCAACTGGTCGGCGATTACACATTAAAGGATGATTGTACTGTGCAGCAATCCATTCTATTATGTTATACGACTCTGTGAGACGGCCGTTGAAAGTAGAAGATATGAAGCAGTTACAGGTGTTCAATCACGGATGTCTTGGTTTGATGAAATCACTGTATAGGCTATATTGAAGTCAGAGGAAGGGTACTAGGCGATGATTTTGAAACGTGTTACGCATACCCAAGTCACCACCTACCTTGATGTGCGATACTAGAGGAAGTTGAATTCGTTAGCAGACATGAGATCACTCGACAAAGTTGTTGACTGTTAATCTGAGCCTTATGAAGAGGTGTAGACTGACTGACTGCGGCTGTTGAAAGGATAGTGCTCTCAGTGGTTGAGAACTAACTCTTGGTGATATGGATAGATAATTGGTTCCAGTAACATAAATGTATTCAGTTCTTGGCGTCTTTTTAAAGCTTGAATATTTTCTTCACTTAGCGTTATGATGTTAACTTTTTTTTTTGGTAAACAAAATTGTCACTTCTAGCCAAAGTATACTTATTGATATTATAGTACTACTACTGCCTTTTAAATGTTCAATACATAATTCATTTGTTTCGTTTTATAAAACATTTACATGTTCTGTTATCATTTACATGTATCATAGTAGTCATAGAGTAGTATTCAACTGTGTTTTAAACTAATAATAATAATAATAATAGTAATAGTAATATTGATAAATTTATACCATTATGATGAGGTTTTCATTTGTAAAACCGGAAGTTAAACAGATAGAATTGATTCAAAAAAAATTTTTGTCCTATTTACATTCTTACAAATAATTTGATTATTGAATACGCTTAAATGGTTTTGTAATCTGATAGATCCTGGTTCAAGCGTCTGTTGTTTCAACAATAAACTCTACGCCAACTTCACCCTTTCTTGGTGGACCACCAATAGCTGCACCAACTGTATCTTCTGTATATAATCCTTCTGCATGGATGGTTACCTATCCAAAATCACAACAACAGTTGAATAGATCTATAATTCAACACAATACACCTAGATTCAGTTCACATACCAGTGCAGAAGTTATTTCTCAGTCAAGTTTAAGTAATCCTACAATTGGTGTATTAAAATCAGGTGAGTGAAAGAATTTTCTGTTTATTGGAAAACAAAAGGGTTTTTTGTGTGACATGAGAAGGCTTAAGGTGTCTGACCGTTGTTACCTTCTAAGCGTAGACCGTGTATTGTGAGTTAGGTGTAGATTTTTAGGGAGGAACGATAAGCTAGTCAGTGATGAGACCGTGAACCGTCATCGACCGAGATGGGTGAGACATATGTTATGCATGCCTAGGCAACGTCTGCTTCGTCGTGCTATGTTGGCCGAAGTAAGTCTAGGCTGGAAAAACACTCAGGATGACTAAAATAGAACATGGAATCAGAGCATGAGCCATGTAAAAAGATGCAGACCAGCCATTCGGGGTCCATGTGGCAATATAAACCAGTGGCTCAGAGTCGACCTCAGTGTTGCAGATGTATCCACATTTTATCTTCAGGCTAATTGCTCTACTGAATTCAGCATTTTCTCATTCCTCCTTCATCTCTTTGACTACTGTTTACTGCTTTTCATCTCTCATCTTACTCCTTTGTTACTTGTGTTGCGCTAATATGAGGTGTAGTGGACTGTAATGCCTGGTCCTATGTTAATAATATTGATGATGACTTGTTGACAGGTTAGGTGTGCAAATAGAGCAGTTATGTATTATGAGTTACTTCAAAACTAGACGAACATATTATCTCATATAACTTCCAAAATTAAACCAACAATCAACACAAATCATATTGTTATAGGTTATTGTTGAATTAGATTAGCGGAAGATTATCGTCTACTTCAACTGTAATCATTCATCATTCTCAGCGTGCAGATGACTCGATATTCATTTGTCATCTCAAAAGGTTCTTAGACAGAAACATAGTTACCAGTGTCCAACACATATCATATTTCTTGGCACATGAAGGTGATATTTCACTATATTTGTGTAGCAAGTATCAGGAAAGCTAATTATACTACTCAAAATAATCTACTTAGACTTACACATTTGTGAAAATTATCCTCTAAGGTGATGACAGTTACTACTTATTCACTAGAAATGTCCACTTCAGCGGTTTTTATTTGACTAATGGATGTAACTCCAATTACGTTGAATTTCTCAGAGATTGACTTGTTACCGGGAAAAGTATCTGCCTAACTTGGAATACTCAGACAACACTTCGGTTAAGCATGAATGCTGATAAGTTGATTAAGAGTTTTGTAAAGGTTTCGAGTAAGAATTAGAGTACATTTGGTGTGTGTTTAACACTTGTCTGATGTAGGACAATGCTTCAGAAGTGATCTACAAAGACTAGTAGGTAAGCATGAGGGCTGTGTGTGTGTGTGTGTGTGTGTGTGTGTGTGTGTGTGTGTGTGCAGTGGTAGAGTTTATTAACTATGTCATCTATTCGGAAAGTTGGGTCAACTTTGACGAAGTGAAATGAAGTTGGATTAGATGAGAACATCGAGAGAGAGAGAGAGAGAGAGAGAGAGAGAGAGAGGCTTAACAAAACAGTGAAAATTGCCCAAAATGGTATGTCCACACAAATATTATTGATTTTTACCCGTATCAGCCGTGATGTTCTGTTATTGATTCGTAATACCTAAAGATTTGTCTGTCTGTTGTTCTTACCTTACATGTCCGTATATTATGGAAAATGATATTGAATCTGATTGGGAAGATAGTTGAGCATAGTTAGTTATGAGAATCAATGTACAATTTGAAAGTTTTTTTTTTCACGAAGTATTGAATTGCGATTCATTAACTTGGAAAGTCGAATCCCACCCAGTAATACTAGTAGTAGTGTAGTGGGGGTTGCTGATCACAATGGATATAAGTAGTATATGTTCAGAGAGCGGCAGAAATCATAGACGATTACCAGCGATAGGTAAACATTCTGCTCAGAGAAACGCAAGAGACAATGTGGGTGTATTAAGAGCGAATAAAGGTAGAAGCAGAAGAGGAAATGAAGCACACTGTGAAAATGACTTAGTGCAGGGTGTACAATATTTGATGACTACTGTACAAGATGTCAATAATAAAAATTCCTTCCTTCGTCTCCGTCTTGTTTTTTCCTACAGTAGGACTTTCTATATGTCTAGAGTGTAGTGGTTGAGTGTGTCGACCAGTTCACTTACCTGGGAAGTAGGATCGGCCGTGCTCTGGTGTGTTGGTCAGTGGTCGACGAAATCTCTGCACGCATACAAAAGGTTCGGTTGACTTTTGCTAACTCACACCACCTGTGGCGGCGCCATGATATCCGATTGTCTGTTAAAGGTTGCGTGTACTGCACAACAGTCCGGTCTGTTTTACTGTATGGCTGTGAAACATGGCCATCGGAGGTGGAAGACATGAGAAGTCTTCAAGTATTTGACCACCGTTGTCTTCGTAGTATATGCCGTATTCTGTGATGTCACCACGTTAGTAACGCAGATGTCAGGTGTAGAGTTTTAGGGAGAAGAGGTAAGTCAGTTGACGAGATTATGAACCATCATAGACTGAAATAGTTGGCTGTGACATGTGCCACCGTCTGCCTCATCACACAATGCTGGTCGAAGTAGACTCAGTCTGGAAAAAGGCTCGAGGCGGTCAGGCTTAAGCATGGCATCAATGTCTGAAGTGTTTGACTGTTGGTTTAAGCCATGTGAGGCGATGCAGACTAGGTGGTTGGGGTCGGCGGGACAAGAGGAACCAGTGGTTGGAGACTGACTCTAGGTGATATGGCTCAATACCGATGTCACTGGCGCAGATGTCGAACCTCACCATTTTCTCATTCTTCCTTTCTCCCTTTTAGTACTGTATATTTCTTTTGATTGGATTTTCTTCTCTTCATCTTCCATTTCACTGCCTTTTTTTTTACTTAATGTACTGATATGAGCTATGGTAACTCGAACCTTTACTTAATGCCTAGCCTTAGGTTGATTTCGATGAATATATAGATGATTAACAATGTGTCCGGACAAATTTTAGCTTAAATCACTACAATTTAGTTAACTAGTTTTCGATAGATAATTAAATTGTTATTGATTTACAACTTACACGATATATCTGATAGATTGATTGACCTTTTTCAGAGCAATATAGATTGATTGCCAAATATACACAGAATAGTGATCATGAATATATTTTGCATTTTATTAATCAATCCATAAATTGAAAATTCTTTTTATTCAACCTCTTAGTAGTTACTAATTCACTCAATAATGATAATTTATAAAAATACAAAATTACTTCTATATATTAATGTCTGTTAGTATCATATTTGTGAGAATACAGGTGGATGAACAAGAAAGAATAACAATGAATAAAATCCTTTTTTTATTTTTTATTTTATTATGATTGGTTGAGATATTTACAAGTTGGGATTTATTAGTAATCAATAAAAATGCTAGAAATAACCTTCTTTCAGTTTTCAAGTTGTTATTCATCATAGACTGACATCAGTTAGAGGAACAAAGGAAACCTGAGAGCACTGGATAACTGTTTCGTCCCTCTAGTATGGGACTCCTCAGCAGTGCACACCCATGACCCTACACCAGCAGGGATCGAACCCGTGACCTTCAGTGCGTTACCATTGAGCTAGCCACTGGGTCAGAATCCAATGCTCCATATTTCCAACTTCTGTTAGCCCTTTCAGTTTGTTTGTTTTTTTTATTAGAAAAAAAAAGGGTCAAATAAAGTTAAAATGACAAGTAAATATCATTACTAGCAACTAATGTTGTATACTTTAAGGGGATATATTAACTGAAGACTACTATTGTTTCTGGGTAATTGTTAGTAGTATTGTTAAAATACATATAAATTTTGCAATTCATACAACATTTAAGTTCATTTAACAAATTTGAATTAAAGCAAGAAGAAGAAAAAAGCATCTTTATAGAATAAAACATGAACTCATTTCATTTCACGGACTTTCATCAGCTGAAAACAGTCTACAGTTCAAATGAAATATATCGGTACTACTACTACTACTACTACTACTACTACTACTACTACTACTACTACTACTACTACTACTACCACTACCACTACTACTACTACTACTACTACTACTACTACTACTACTACTACTACTACTATTAATAATAATAATAATAACGTAATATGACAGATGAAATGAGCCTAGAATATTTGGATTTCATCAATGATGATTTATGTCATATGTCTCACAAACTTGAAGATCTACAAGCGAAAATTAACAAGTTGGCAGAAGAGGTTAGATAGGGCAGGGAAGCGAAGATCACACTTCCTTCAGGTGAACTATAGAGAAGACAGAGGCGATCAAGGTACCCAACTAACAACAACAAAAAGCACCAAACACTATCAATGGGAGAAATCTAAAGCAAGTTGCCACTTTCATCTACCTACCCATCTAGGCAGCATCGTCCCAATTACAGGTGGTGGCTGCGGCACAAATGAGAATATTAAAGCCAAGATTGGAAAGATAGCAAGACAGGCCTTTCTTCGTCAATCTGTGGAGATCTACTACACTGCACTCATCATAAGAAAGAAGATCCGGATTTCCAACACTAATTTCAGTCAAGTTAGTCAGTGATTCTATGTGATGGTTACGAAAAACATTTCCAACAGACTGCAGATATCATACATCAACAGCTGCCATCTACACTCACTCCAGACTGATACTCAAGATGGAGGTCAGATGGTCAGAATAATAAGAATAAGCAACAAGGAACTCACTGTAGCTGGCAACGAACCAATGAAGCAAGAATCTATCGCCCAACAAATATGCAGAAGAAGAAGAAGGTGGTGGTGGGTTAAATTGGACGTGCGCTGAGAAGATGGTTTGGGGACATCACGCGTCAGGCCAAGTGAGACCGTCGAGCGTAACTCAAATGGGAAACGACAAGGTAGGCATCCGAGGGTGACACGGCGGAGATTGTGTGAGGAAGAAATGAAAGCTTCTTGGCAGTCATCCAGCCAGGTTGAGAAGACTGGAGAGAAGAGAGTGCAAATAGTGATGTGTTCCACTTGGGAACCCAGAGGACAAATGATAGTCAAGGAAATAATGACATAGCATGCTTTACATAT